GGGTCCACAAGCTCCTGGATCTGTGAGTCCACCCTGTTCCCGCCTCCTCTTCCCCCTGTCCAGCACCTCCCCCGCTCGGCGGGCTCCGCGCTGCTCTGTCTCCCTTCCCACCTCCCGGGTTCCTGATGTGTCGTCATCTACTCCTGGATGACAGTTGTTCCCTACAGGGCTGCTGGGCAGGGTTGCCGCTTTGGGCCCTGCCCGGGACATCCCCTGATGGGTGTCATCCTTGACACTTCCACGCCCCGGTAGTTCTTGGCCGTGGCCTGACTGTGACGGGAGTTGAAAACCTTGGTAGAACAAAACACAAGATGGAGCTGTCAGAAGCTTTCAGCCAACTTCCACTCAGTTACAGTAACAGGGGTAAACATTGATTCTTTGAGGCAGCATGGATTCTTGACTGCGATAACTGGGTCCAGCTCCCGGCTCTGCCTTTCACCAGCTATGTGACCGTGGGAGCGCAACAACCTCTCTCTGTGCCCCAGTGCTTGATCAACGAAATTAGTATAACACTACCGGTCTCGTGGAGTTGTAGTGAGGAAGCAATTTGACATATGTAAAGTCCTTAAAAGGATACCTAGTGTTAAAAAAAAATTCAGAGAGCCTTACTTGATACGAATATTTTTTTGAGGGAGACACAAGGAGCTCAGAGACAGGTAGTTAGGATGGCTTATAAGTGAGAGTGAGGAAGTTGTTCAGCCTTCAGGATGGTTATTACAATATAATGAGATGCAGGAGATTGAATAAAAGTGATTATGTTATACTATTTTATTTATTTTTATTTGTTTTTAGAAAAAGGGAAAGGTAAGGAGAAAGATGAAGAGAAACATTGATGTGGGAGAGAAACATCCCGGAATAGAATCAGTGACCTTTCACCTTGTGGAAGGATGAAGCCACAGAGCCAATAAACTAGGTTCTAATGTGTGCAGCACATTGTCTTCTTTTAGAAGGGAATCACAGAACCTTTTTGGACCTGGTGAAAATGAGCCTTTCAATATTGCATTAATGCCTTACCATATTGAACTATGTCATGATTACTTAGAATAAACATAAGGATGCCTTATTTAAATAGGACTCAGTGTTAGTGGTAAGTTCCTATTTAAGTTAGGCCTTTACATGGTATAAGCAATTAGGTATTTAATAAAAAGAATTTCTATGAAACAAAAAAAAGACAAAGATTAATAGTTAGAGCAATTATAAACTCAGATCCAGAGTCAAGAGCAGCCAGTAGAGAAAATTTCTGAATTTGAGCTTGAATCTTTAGGTGGTAGAATGAGGATGGCAATTTTAATCTGCTGGATTTTCCTGGTTTGCAGTTTGAATGTCTTTGATGATGTCATCAGGTGTTCGGGTGAGCTTTCTGAGTGGTCCACACAGAAGTAGGTATGAATATTGTTTACACGCAATCTGTTGTGGTCTCAGCTCTGCCATTATAGTATGAAAGCGGGTATAGATATGGCTGTGTTCAAAGAAAACTTTGTTTACAAATGCAGACAATAGGCTGGATTTGGCTGATGGACCAGAGTTTTCTCACCCCTGGTCTAAGGTAAGGATAACAGCTTTCACATTGCCCTGATCAGCCCATACTGCAGTCTCATTGTGTCTTCCAAAATTCTGATTCAGCTGGACACCCAGTGAACACCATGAGCTTTCAACTGAGCTGAAGCATCAGTGAACTACCTAGGTCCAGACATTTAGGGAAACTTCTGTGAATCAAGAGCCCTATTGAGCCAATGGCTTTGCTTCAGGCGGTATGAGTGGTGGATAAAGTGCCCCCCAAAGCTGTCACTTTTCCACAAAAAACAAAGATCCCTCTAGAGCCAGGCCAACTGTGATTTAAAAAAAATTTTTTGTAACACATCATATTTGTTTCAGGTGTACAACATAGTGACTTGAGACCTGTATACCTTACAAAGGGACCACCATGAAAAATCTAGTAACCATCTGTCACTGCACAAAGTTATTACTATAGTATTGACTATATTCCCTATGCTATACATTACATCCCTGTGACTTACTGATTTTATAGCCAGAAGTTTGTACCTCAATCCTCTTCACCTTTTTGTCCTTCCCCTTACTACCTTCCCCTTTGGTAACTATTAGTTCTCTATTTCTGAGTCTGTTTCCATTTTTATTTGTTTGTTCGCTTCTTGTTTTTCAAATTCTACAGAGAAGTGAAATCATACAGTATTTGACTTATTTCACTTATCATAATACCATCCATGTTGTCGCATGGCTGAGTAAATATTACATTGAGTATGTGTGTTTATATGTGTGTGTGTGTATATATATATGTATATGTGTATATATATGTGTGTATCCTATATATCTATCAGTAGACACCTAGGTTGTTTCCATATCTTACCTTTTATAAATAATGCTGCAGTGAACATAGGGGTACCTATATCTTTTCAAAAGAGTGCTACTGTTTTCTTTGAATAAATACCCAGAAATAAAATTGCTGGGTTGTATTGTAGTTCTGTTTTTAATTTTTTTCTATAGTGGCATACCAGTTTATCAATTTGAATATACCATTTCCATATGATCAGCAAGTCCTTTGGGTCCTTCTCATGTAAGTTATAGAGTCCAAATTGATCCATGTCAAAATAAGGATATCAGGCCATACAGTCAATCACAAGGTCTCATGCTCAGGCATTCAACAAGAGCTTATTAACAGGTTAATAGCTGCCTTAAAAAAATATGTGGTGGCAGCTGCATCAGGCAAGTAGTAATGTCGTATAGGCATACCTCATTTCATTGCCCTTTGTTTTATTGCTCTTTGCAATTTTTACAAATCAAAGGTTTGTGGCAACCCTTTGCTGAGCAAGTCTGTCAGTGCCATTTTTCCAACATTTCCTCACTTCATGTTTTGTGTCACATTTTGTTCAAACTCACAATATTTCAAATATTATTATTATTATTATATTTGTCATGGTGATCTACAATCTGTGATATTTGATGTTACTATTGTAATTGTTTGGGTCCTTGACAAACCACTTCCAGATAAGATGGCAAACTTAATTGATAAATGTGTGTAGTCTGACTACTCCATCAACTGGCCAAACCCCCTTCTCTTTCCCTCTCCTTGAGCCTCCCTATTTCTTGAGACCCAATAGTATTGACATTAGGCCAGTTAATAACCCTACACTGGCCTCTAAGTGTTCAAGTAAAAGGAAAAGTCGCATGTCTCACTTTAAATCAAAAACTAGAAATGATTAAGCTTAGTGAGGAAGGCATGTCAAGAGCCAAGATAGGTCAAAAGCTAGGCCTCTTGCTCCAAACAGCCAAGTTGTAAATCCAAAGGAAATATCCTTTAATAAAATTTAAAGTGCTACTCCAGTGAATACATGAATGCTAAGAGAGTGAAACAGCCTTATTGCTGGGTAGAGAAAGTTTTGTTGGTCTGGCTAGAAGATTAAAACAGCTACAACATTCCCCTATGCCAAAGCTAATCTAGAGGAAGGCTCTAACTCTCTTTAATTTTGTGAAAGTTGAGAGAGGTCAGAAACCTGCAGAAGAAAAGTTTGAGACTAGCGGACGTTGGTTCATGGGGTTTAAGGAGAGAAGCCATACAAGGTAAAGCAGCAAGTGCTGATGTAGAAGCTACAGCAAGTTATCCAGAAGATCTAGTTAAGATAATTAATGAAGGTGGCTACACTAAACAACAAATTTTCAATGTAGGCAAAACAGCCTTCTATTGGAAGAAAATGCCATTTAGGACTTTCATAGTTATAGACAAGAAATCAATGCCTGTCTTCAATGCTTCAAAGGACAGGTTGACTCTTTTGTTAGAAGCTAATGCAACTGGTAATTCCAAGTAAAATCCCATGCTCATTTACCATTCCAAAAACCCTAGGGTCCTTAAGGATTATGTTCAGTTTACTCTGCCTGTGCTCTATAAATGGAACAACAAAGCCTGGATGACAGCACATCTGTTTACAACATGGTTTATTAAATATTTTAAACCCACTGCTGAAACCTACTGCTCAGGAAAAGAAATTCCTTTCAAAATATTATTGCACATTGATGATGTACCTGGTCACCCAAAGGCTCTGATGGAGATGTATATGAAATTAATGTTGTTTCATGCCTGCTAACACAACATCCATTCTGCAGCCCATGGGTTAGGAGTAATTTAGACTCTCAAATCTTATTTAAGAAATACATTTTGTAAGGCTATAGCTGCCATAGATAGTGATGGTAGATGGTAAATTATAGATGGATGTGGGCAAAGCAAGTTGAAAACCTTCTGGAAAGGATTCACCATTCTAAATGCCATTCATGATTCATGAGGAGTTAAAATATCAACAACAACAGGAGCTTGGAAGAAATTTATGGATGACTTCAAGGGGTTCAAGACTTCAGTGGTGGAGGTAACTGCAGTGGGGTAGAAATAGCAAGAGAACTAGAACTTTTATTTATTTTTGCATATATTTACTTTAGAGAGAGAGAAACATCGATATGACAGAAACATTAATTGTTTGCCTCCCATACACATCCTGACCAGGGATCAAATCCAAAACCCAGGTATGTGCCCCTACCAGGGATCGAACCCACAATCCTTTGGTGCATGTGGCAATGCTCCAACCAGCTAAGCCTCCCAGCCAGGGCAAGAGAACTAGGATTTTAAGTGGAGTCTGAAGAGATGTGACTGAATTGCTGCAATCTCATTAAGAAAAACTTCAACAGATGAGGATTTGCTTCATATGGATGAGCAAAGAAAATGGTTTCTTGAGATGGTATTGACTCCTGGTGAAGATGCAATGAAGATTGTTTAAATAACAACAAAAGATTTAGAATATTACATGAACTAGTTGGTAAAGCAGCATCAGGATTTGAAAGGATTGACTCCATTTTTTTATTCCAATTTTAAAAGAAGTTTTACAGTGAGTAAAATGCTATCAGTGTCACATGCTACAGAGAAATTGTGTGTGAAAGAGTAAATCAATGTGGCAAACTTTACAGTTTTTTGTTTAATTTTAAGGAATTGCCCATGCTCGCTGCTTCAGCAGCACATATACTAAAATTAGAATGATACATAGAAGATTAGCATGACCTCTGCACAAGGATGGCATGCAAATTCATGAAGTGTTCCATATTTTAAACGAAAGAAATAAATTGCCAAAGCCACCTCAGTCTTTAGTGACCACCACCCTGATCAGTCAGCAGCCATCAACATCAAGGCAAAACCCTTCACCAGCAAAAAAGTACAGTCCACTGAACGACCAGATGATGGTTAGCATTTCTTTTAGCAATAAAGTACTTTTATACTAAGGTATGTAATCTTTTTAGATATAATATTACTACACAGTTAATAAACTACATTATAGTATAAAGTTTTATGCACTGAGAAACCAACAAAATTCATGTGACTCACTTTATTGCAATATTCGTTCTATTGTGGTGGTCTGGAACTGAGCCCACAATATCTGCAAGGTTTGCCTGTACTGGAAAAGGCTTGTCTGAATGCTCTGGTCTTTAAAGCTGTGATTTCTCTTTTTCTGCTTCTGGTTCTATGTTGTTTCTGCTGTACTCCTCAGCAGGGGACAGAGAGGTTGGTAGACAAGGAAGCTAGTTTCATGTTCCATATTACCCCTCTACATGTGGCTGTCCTAAACAGGACAGTCAGCTCTGATGCTTGTGTACTAGGGAAATATAACCATGTAACACATTTATATCAATTATACATTCAGTAGCATAAGCTGCAACAACAATTTATTGATAGACCCAAAGGGCTGCACCCATAAGATCACTTTAGCTTCTCTTCCTCACTGAGAACTTTACCCAAACCCCATCATTTGAATTTGGGTGCCTTTTCACCCTAAGGTTTCAGAGACCAGAAGCTTTTTAGAAAGATTTTATTTATTTTTTAGAGAGGGAAAGGGAAGGAGAAAGAAAGGGAGAGAAATACTGATGTGCGAGAGAAACAGCAATTGTTTGCCTCTAGCATGCCCCAGCTAGGGACCTGGCCCACAACCCAGGTATGTGCTCTGGCTGGGAATCAAATCTGCGACCTTTTGGTTCACAGGCTGGTGCTCAACTCACTGAGCCACATCAGCCAGGGCAGAGACCAGAAGCTTAATGAATGTATAAGTTATGAATTACAGCAACAGTCAACAGGAGTCTGTTATTCCATGGCTATCAGTGTGAGGAGTGCAGAGTGGTCGGAGAGGCTGGCTCGCAGGGAATCTTGGGAGCGTTAAGGGTGCTTTTTTTCTCCCTTGGCTACCTAGTCTAGTATTGGTGCCTGAGCATAGGCATTGCTTCTTCCTCTGGGTACCTCCCAGTGATCATTCCACCTCAGAGGTCTCTTTCTTTATGCCCCATTGGATACCACTGCATTTTATCTTACAGTTCTTGGTAATGTTGGCCATCTTTATGTTCAGCACACCATGATTCTCACCAGTCACATTGGACTGTGGTAGGAGCAAGATACACGAGCAGCTGGCTTTGCACTATTTGGCAAGAATTTATTATTCCCTTATTTGTTGAGGGGCTGTTCCCTGTAACTCAACAAGATGAACTTCTAATGGTTTTGATTCACCCAAAATTCAAATAGCAGGATCTATTATTTGAGTTTTGATACCATTATTTCAGCTTCGGAAGCCACAAAAATGTTGCCATTTAACTAAAGCCTCAGAGTTTGCTACCCTAATTGTCATAATAACATTTCTTTCTCCTCTCATATAGAGGAGAGTGAGCAACAACCCAACACCCTTCAGGTGGCTTGTTTCAATCCTACTTCTCATCACTGAGCCATATCAACACATAGGACAGTCGACAACTCTTACTCCTTTCACCTTCACCTACCAGCTGGGTGAGAGCCTTTGGTTCCAAACCTGAGAGTTTTCTCATATCCCCAAACCTTCCTGACAGGACTTTTTCCTTTCCTCTTCCATAAAGCTATGTTTTGGTCAGCATCCAATTTCATTACCAAACTGTCAGATCTAGGATTTGATTTTACTTCACTTATACACTAACAGATTAGACTGCTACTGTTTCGTGGATGCTGACAGAAGACACTAGATTCCTGGGCCAGAGACAAAGGACTTTGTTACTCACAGTACAGTAAATAGCATGAGCATTAATATGTTTGCCTCTGTTGCCCTTCTTCCCTAAATTCCATGGGGGTGACACAGAGGTCTCAGATGGATGCCTGCACGCACATATCTGTGGGTGCATTACAGAAAAGGAACACAGAGCTTGGGTAATATACTATCTTATAGCAAACAATATGCATATTTGCCCTTTGTCCTGGAGGGAGACAACACCTAATCTCTCAGAATTGCTTGTTGCAAACACAACCTACCTGAGAAATGACCCAAATAAAGAACAATTAGGGCTTTTCATTTGTGGCATACTCACAGAAGTGTGAAAGACCTAACTGTGACCAAAAGGCAGAAGTTGGGAAATTATCTCACTTCAATTTTTAACCCAAATTAACAATTTATAGGGATTTAAAAATATACATCAGTATGTCTCTCCCCCATACCCCCCTCTCTCTCTCACTCACACACACACACACACGCATGCACCACCCTTTCCAAGAATTGTTTAGAATCCAGTGAGATGGAAGAACTTTGTACTCAAAAGTAAGCAAACTTAAAATGACCAATTCATTTGAAAAGAAACTGCATATGTATTTGAAAGAAAAGGAATCACAGCATTCCCTATTAATGGGACTCGGATTTCTGTTAAATGGATGAGAAGGTTGATGGTATTTGAAAGACTTACAAAATGGCAGAATGAAGAAGTTCCATGAACCTGCTCCCCAGTAAAATAAGCGTGAAATTGAAAGTTACAAAACAAAAATAACCACTTCAATTCTCTGGAAATCCTCCTGAGGGCATGCAGCAAATAAAGAAACATTCATTCAGGATAATCTATTAAAATTCAGAACAGCGAGAATCTGTGGCATTTCAACTATACCTGCTTCCTCCCTGTACCACCTCCCCCACCCCAGCTTGACTGGAAGCTTCACTCCAGGTGAGTGTACCCCAGATAATGGGGCTACCTCTCCTCCAAGCTCCCAGTTGAAGGCTTCAATATCTTCCTGAGAAGGGCAGGATGCCAATGCTTCTCATCGTCTCCCACCCCAGATACTTTTTCTTAAGCTAAATTGTAGTCAAGTATGGCTAAGAGATTGGGGGGTGGTGGTGCTACTTCCACCTACCCCACACTCATAAGGCAGAGGCTTATCTCAGCATGTTATGCTGAATATACTGGGGTCTTGGTCTCCCTCATCTGAGCTCACTCATGGGTGAAATTCCCATCCTAGGAGAAGCAAGCCAAGAAAACCAGAGGTTATTGCTCAGCATCCTGCTCCTAAACCAGGGTGTCACTCAGAGAGAAGCAATCATTTTCTGTTAGAGTGGTCAGTGACATGGGCTGTGAAAGAATTCACAAAGAGAAGAAAGTATAGAGAGTAAAGTTTTTATTCACTCTCCAATAAAGGAGAGGGGCGTGGTGTGGAGAGATATGCCAGCATTGAGCGGTAGGGGCTTTGATCTTTTATTGAATTATAACTGGATTATAAAAGGGTAGTGGTTGCTACTGTAGGGTCCCTGGGCTGTTGAGAGTCTTGTAACAAGAGGCTGCAGTTTGTTTTCTTTTGCTTGTGGCTGTAGGGAGTGATTAGTCACATTCTGTTCTTGCTTTTCAGTAATTTCTAGTCCTAGGGACAAAGGCTCAGAAGGGTAAAATGGCAGTCATGTTTACCAAGGTCAAAGGCCTGCTAGGCAAATGGTGCCACGACTTTATCCTTTCATTATCCCGTTTCTCAGCTCTGAAATTGTGGCTCAGAGCTTTTTTTTTTTTACCAGAGGGAAAAGCAGGCTATAAAACAATGAATACCAAAGCTCCCAAGAAACTGACTTTATTTGAACAGAGGGTAAGTGAAATTCAAGCCTAAGAGCACTCTGAAAATCAATGGAGATTTTGGCATTAAGTAATTATGAAGAGGCTGATAGCTTTATGTAAGATACAAGATAAACATAGGCCACCAAGTTTATTAGAGAAAACCTAGGAAAGAGACATCGTACAAGAGTCTGCCTGGGGTCAGAACAAACCTTAGAAACTAACACTGCAAAGGAGTCCAAAGTGAATTAGATGACATTGCAGAACAATTTATACGCCAGGCATTGTTGAAAACATTAGAGCAATCAATCTGCAATAAGTGAATGCTAACAGCTGGCTTAACAAAATAATGAAAGAAAGAGATAGTCAAAGAGAGACCTGCCAAAATCACAGTCATTCCATCATGACAATACTTATATCCAAGGCTATGCATCATAATACAAACAACACAAGAATACTGCAAAACTACTTGTGCAAAAGAAGAGTTAACAATCAAAACTTACAAAGCATGAAAAGAAAATAGCATAAAAGAGACTCAACAGAGAATAAGAGAATTGGCTTTAGGAACACTAGATGATAGAACAATTTGAAAGGTATTTTAAAACAAATATATTAGAAATGTTCAAAAACAAAGGAATAGTTATTTTTCAGGAAAGAATGAAAATAAGATTTTTTAAAAAAATTAGAAGCCCTATGAAGGAAAAATACAGTCTTTGAAATAATATCTAAATTACCTTGTGTGTCTCATAATGGATCATAGACTGGACTTTAATACATCCCATCTATCTAAAATAAGACCTACTGGTTCCCCTTTCTTTTATACTTATGCATATATGGTAAGATGAGTCTGGGACCCTGGTGGCACCATTGAGGTCATACTGCAAGTTGGCCTTATCCTACTACTTGGCTTACTATTGATAATAGCCTTATTTAAATGCTTTAAGAGACAAATTGAACAGATTTGATTTCAGCCATCTGTTGGTCAAATTAATCTAAGTAGCTGACAGAGTGATATACTTATATAAATATTTGAGTTTAACCAAGAACGTGGATAGTTGGGATGTATAGTTGGGAGAGGCAGTCTTCCATGGACTGATTGATACATTCCTGCTGCGTATGCCCAGAGTGCAGGGCCCTGGTTGCACTTTACCTAGGTCATTTCTGAAGGTTGCGTCTGCAATGAGTAACCTTAAGAGTGAAGTATTGTCTCCTTTCAAACAAAAACAACAGGCCTGCTTCAGTTTGCT